CATGGCCCTCAAGAGCCGGGCCTGCCACGAAATGGTGAGGGGGCCGTCCCGGACACCCCCGGGGAGATCAAGGGCAAGGGTAGGGCGCCCGGCCTGCTCAGCTTCCTTCATCCAACCCAGATACTTGCGCCCGCGGGCAGTTTGCAGCAAGTGGCTACGTTGTTGGTGGTGGGATTCTGGATGGACTGGAACAGCGTTTCCAAACTGGCTGAATTGCTTTCCTTTGGAAAGGGCCCGGGAACCTAGCTTGGCTTGGGGGAGGGGGTGGCGCCTCCGAGCCTCAGTGTTTTGCATCCGTAAAATGGGCACAGGCCGTGGCCGCAGCTCTGCCGAGCCAGGGGCTTGGGGCGAGGAAGAGAGCCCTGTGAGCCCGCCCCCACCTTCTTTCCCCGGCTAGGCAGCCCCACCCAGCGCTCCCACTTCCTGCGCACACAGAGCCGTGGGTCCTCACCACACAGGGGCCCCCAGTCCACCAGGGTGCACCCCCAGCCTGCCCGCTCCTCCCCCTCCGTCACTCGGCGACCCCCGCAGAGCCACTGAAGACACAGGCTGGGAACTTGCTGGGCCGCAGCGGCCCCGGGTGGGCTGGAGGCTGGGCCGCTGCGGCTCCCCCGGGACGGAGGGCCTCACCCCGCCCCGCGCTGTCCCCAGGCCCTGCGCATCGTGCTGCACAGCCTGGACCTCCGGGCCAACTGCTACCAGCGCTACGTGGTGCCGCTGCTCAGCCTCAGCGCCGACTTCTACGTGCGCGTGTTCGTGCGCGTGTTCACGGGCCAGGCCAAGGTCAAGGCCTCGGCCAGGTCAGCGGGGGGGGGGCTTGGGAGGGACGAGGCTCCCCCCCCCCACACCCAGGGTTCCCGAGCAGGATGGGGTGGCTGAGCCAGCCTGAGGAAGGAACCCGCCTCCACCATGTACCCCCCGCCCCGCCCCGTCACAGCAAGCAGGCGCTGGTGTTCCAGTGTGTGGGGTGCGGGGCCTTCTACCTTCAGCGCCTCGGCAAAGCAGCGGAGGCCCCCGGCGGCCGGTGAGCGCGGGCACCAGGGAGGGAGGTGAAGGGGGCGCCGCAGGGTGGCTCGCCCGTCTCACTTCACCCCTTTCGCCTCGGGAGGGTCAAGTTCTCTGCAGCTTGCGGACCCCCCGTGGCCCCCGAATGTGAGCACTGTGGGCAGCGACACCAGGTAGGGCGGGGCCGGGCGGTTGGGGAGGGCGGCGCGCCCCCTGCCACGCACCCAGCTCGGCCCACAGCCCCCTACTTGGGCCTGCAGCTCGGGGGCCCCTTGTGGGCAGAGCCCATCCACGACCTGGACTTCGTGGGCCGTGTCCTGGAGGCCGTGAGCGCCAACCCCAGCCGCTTCCACACCTCGGAGCGGATCCGGGGTGTGCTGAGCGTCGTGAGCGAGGTGGGGTCGGCCCCGCCCACATGCCAGGCCCTGCCCACCATGCCCGGCCATGCCCATGGGCACCCGTTAATGCCTGCCACGCCCTGTCCCGCCCATGTGTGCCTGGCCACGCCTACCATGCCATGCCCTTCCAGGCCATGCCCATGTGCACCCAGCCACTCCCACCCTGCCTGCCACACCCTGTCCCACCCTTGGGCACCCGGCCACGCCCACCACGCCACGCCCCACCCAGTGCTGCCCATATGTGCCACGCCCTTCCTGGCCATGCCCATGTGTGCCCGGCCACGCCTACCATGTGCACCCAGCCACTCCCACCCTGCCTGTCGCGCCCCCGCCCCTGGCGCCCAGCCACGCCCACTCCCCTCCCGCAGGAGCTCCCGGATGTGCCGCTGTACTACACGCTGGACCAGCTGAGCAGCACGATCCGCTGCAGCACGCCCAGCCTCCTGCAGCTGCGGTGAGGGGCCTGGGTGGGCGTCTCCCCTCCCCCCTCCCCGACACACTCACACACACAGCCCCTCACGTCCCCGCCGGCTCCGCAGGTCCGCCCTCCTCCACGCTGGCTTCCGAGTCTCGCTCTCCCACGCCTGTAAGAACGCCGTGAAGACAGACGCCCCGGCCTCGGCCGTCTGGGACATCATGCGCTGCTGGGTGAGGGTGGGGCGCCCGGAGTCCCCCCCCCCCCCCCCGCCAAGCCCCCTGGCCCAGCAGCCAGCCCCTGACCCCTGACCCCGCCCCCAGGAGAAGGAGTGCCCGGTGAAACGGGAGCGGCTGTCGGAAACCAGCCCCGCCTGGCGCATTCTCAGCGTGGAGCCCAAGTATGGACGCGCGCGAGGGAGGGGCCGGGGAGACCACAGGCACCTTCCCCCGGGGGCCACGCGTGCCTTCTCCCCACCTTCCGCCCCGTTCCCAGCCCCTCGCCAGGGTGCGACTGCCCGCTGCCTAGACCCCTCCCGCCTCGCTCACACTCCAGGGTCCAGTCTACCCCAGGGCCTTTGCTTGTGCTGTCCCCCCGCCCCACTCACCCCCAGGACTCCAGGAAGCCTGCCTTGACTGCCGTTAAAGCAGCAGAGTTCTCAGGCACGTGGCCATCGAGTTTTGAAAAAGTCGGTGCCATGAAGGGGTCGAACCCCCCCCACTCCACCCTTGGGCCCATGGCCTCCATGGGTGGTCCGGGCACCCCCGGGGGGCAGCCGCTGCCCCTCACCCTCCTCCCCTCCCCCCACCACGGGCCCAGGCTGCAGGCAAACTTCACCGTCCGCGAGGACGCCAACCCCAGCTCCCGCCAGCGAGGACTCAAACGCTTCCAGGCCAACCCGGAGGCCAACTGGGGTCCCCGGCCACGCGCCCGGCCTGGGTGAGCGGCAGAGCCCCGGCCCCCCTTCCAGGGGTGGGGTTTGGGGTGGGAGGGGGATGAGGCTGAGCCGGATTGGGGGTCCCCTGTCTCCCGCACAGGAGCAAGGCGGCGGGGGAAGCTATGCAGGAGAGACGCAGGCTGTGCCAGAATAAACGGAAGGAACCGGCCGAGGACCCCGCCCAGCGCGCCGCCCGGCTCAAAGCCTTCCCTTGCAAGAGGTTTAAGGAGGTGAGGCAAATGCTGGGGAGTGAGCTGCCCGTCCAGGCCGGAACCCAAGGGCCGAAGCTCACGCCCAGTGTCTCCCCACCAGGGCACCTGTTCACGTGGGGACCAGTGCTGCTATTCCCACAGCCCCCCGAGGACCACGCCTGCAGCTTCTGGGGGTGCCGCCCCCACCCGGTGTCCAGAGGCCCCCAGCCAGGACCCACCTTGCTCCGGGGCCGCCACGGGGCCCGGTGTAGACTGAGCCAATAAATAAAGTGACGTCACCTCCTGGCTATCTGTCATTACTATTCTAGGGGAGGTTGGGTGCTGTGCCTACGGGCCACCCTGGGGTGGGGGGCGCTCCGGGAGCCGATGATCCGTCTGTCCGTCCGTCCGTCCATCCATCCATCCATCCATACCAGGACACTCGGCCATTCATGGGCCGGCGCCGGTAGTTCTCGATGCGGCCACTAGGCGGCAGCCGAGCGCTCGTGCCCACCGGGTTTCTGCCCCTCTTCCCCACCACTGGGTCCCCTGACCGCGCGCGCTCCCGAGCCTGCACGCCAGCCACGATGGAGGTAGTTCCCCACCCCCGCCGCAGGCCGCCGCCTGGTTTCTTTGGCCCTGCTCTCCCGCGGACTGCAAGTGGCGGAAGCCGGACCGGAACCAGGCGCCCTGTGCATCCGCTGTAGACCAGGTGCTTCCTGCTCTGCAGCCCGGAGAGGAGGGTGCGCCTGGCCCAGGGGCCCGGCTGCCCAGACACCCAGCCAGGGGGAGCCTCCAGCCCCCCAGTGAATGGGAGAAGCCTGCCCGGGACGGGGACTTGGCCACGTGCATCTCCACTTGTAACGCGTCAAAGCTGCAGGAGCGGCAGAGTTAACACAGCTGCTTGAGACTTTAGCTCTGCTGACCCCGGAGACCAGCAGTGGGGTGGTTCCTTACGGGGGTCCTTGGCTTCCGGGGAGCCTGCTGGGTTCCTTCAGCCACCCATTTCCGGGCACGTGACTGACTGATGGCAGTGCAGGGCATGGGCGATGAGGGTCAGTGGTGTGTCTGGGGCAGAACCCCCTCCTATGTGTGTGTGGTGGTGGTGGAGGTGGGGTATCAGGCCCCTGCAGGACCTCTGTCTGCCCGCCCCCCCATGAAGTGGCCCTGAGCGATGTGTGATGAGCACAAGAGACCATCAAGCTGGGGTGGGGGAGGGTGTCGATCCTGCGAGCCAGAGCCCCAGAACCCCGGGGGACTCTGTCCTGTGAGACTTGGGCATGGAAACCTGGCACGCATACGGAGCTCCCACTCCATTCCTCCCCCCCCCGCCCGCCCGCCAGGCCCAGGACACCTGGCCAGGCTGGACACCCGACCCGGGGCCAGGCTGTGCAAACCGGCCCCCCTCGGGTGCCCCACTGCAGGGTGGGGGTGGAGGAGAGGCTGGGAGGGGCTCCGCAGAAAAGAGGAACCAGGTGGGGGAGGGGGAGGAAGAGCTGGCGGCCCCCTGGGTCACGAGGCCCCATTGGGGCCGGAAAGGACCCTACCCCACCCCCATCAGCGCGGACACTGTTCGAAGTCAGAGGGCAGCCCCAGCTGCCCCCAGGAGGCTGTGGCGACCCTGCCTCAGTTTCCCCCCACGTGCATCGGGTGTCCGTCTCTCCCTGCCTGTGCCCCGCGGCCTCCCGGGGTGGGGGGGAGCAGAAGGTGAGGCCGTGAGTGAGGGGGTGAGGGCCTGAGTTCTGCCCACGCCGGCCCCGGGGGGCGGAGCCGGGAGGCCCGCGCTGGGAGATCCCCGCCCGCCGGTTTCCTCCGGGGTCAGCCCGGCTCCTTATCAGGCGCGGCCAGGCGACCAAGCCCTTATCTGCGCCGGCCCAGCATCCTCTGGCCGCTGGGCCCGGGGTGAGAGGGAGGAAACCGGGCCGCCGGAGGGGGGCGGGGACAGGGCGGGCCCCGCCGCTGGGAGCTGCTCACTTTCCCTCCGCGGGGGACCCACGCCGCCGTCCCCGGGCCCCTGGGAGCCCGGGAGGAGGCCGGCGTGGAGGGGTGGGGGTGGGGGCCCCGACGGGGCGGCCCGGAGCACAGAGCCCAGCCGGGGAGCAGGAGGAGGCCACAGGAAGCTGCATCTTGGCCTAGGCTGCAGCTCTGCCTGACCGGACAGCAGCGCGGGGGCACCCACCAGGCTGCAGGACCGGCGCTGGGGTAAGAGGGGAACCGACCTGAAAGGTTCAGGATCCTGAACCGGGGATCCTGCCTTCATTCATTCATTCATGCATGCATGCATGCATTCACCCACGGGGCCCACGCAGTGAGGGCAGACAGGGGCAGGGAGTCTCACAAAAACCTCACGGGGACACCCCGGGCCCTGTGGTGCCAAGAGGTGGCAGGGGTTCACAACCATGGGGGGTGGGGGTGGCAGTGGGGTACTCAGAGGGAGGCTGGGGGCGAGATGGGGTTCTGGAGTCCCGGTGTGAGCAGTGAGGTCCTACCTGCTGGGTTAAGGGGGTCGTTTTCTGCGGGAGGTTGGGGGGGTCCCTGTGGGGGAGGGGCAGGGGGTACAGTCAGGGGAAGGTCAGAGGTCACGGCATCAATGGTGGGGCTTGCTGCGGGTTGCAGGAGAGAGGGCGCCCTCTCCCCATGGGCTAGCTAAGCAGGTGGGTGGTGGGTGGCCCTTTTTCCCAGTGGCTTCCTGCCCTCCCTGCCCGCAGGTACACACCCCGCCCCGGGGTCCATGTGCCCGCCCCAGGCCCAGGCAGAGGTGGGGCCCACCATGACTGAGAAGGCAGAACTGGTGTGTGCCCCCAGCCCAGCGCCCGTCGTGTCCCCCAAGTCTACCTCGCCTGGGCACCCGCGGGCGGAGGACGTGGGCCGCCGAGGCTCCTCGCCCCCTAGGCTGCCCCCTGGTGTGCCGGTGATCAGCCTGGGTCACACCAGGCCCCCGGGGACAGCCATGCCCCCCGCGGAACTCAGCACCCTGCCACTGCCACTGCTGCAGCTCTCTCCCCTGGGAACAGCCCCTCCCACCCTGGCCCTGCACTATCACCCTCACCCCTTCCTCAACAGGTCAGTGGGGGCAGCCGGGGGGCTGGGCGGGACTTGGGGACCAGGGTCGCGCCCGCACAAGGCACTAGTGACCTGGGACTGCCTTCCAGTGTCTACATTGGGCCGGCAGGACCTTTTGCTCTTTTCCGGAACAGTCGGCTCAAGCGGAGACCGAGCCACTGTGAGCTGGACCTCGCTGACGGTGAGTGTGGGTTTGCGTGGGTTGCGTGTCCGCTTGCGGGTGTACCCAAGGAGTAGTGGCCGCCTCCGCACTGGAGCCCACGTGGGTGCTGGACAGAGGACAGCCCGCCCACAGAGGGAGGTTACACCCAGGTGCAAGCCACACCCCTCCCCCTAGCCAGTCCTGTGCAGCCCACTGCCACCCAACATGAGGCAAACCTTTCCCCTGGGAACAAAATATGAAACAGCATGGCACCAGTGGGCTCAGGAGCCACCAAAAAAAAAAAAAAAATGGGACAGGTTTCAATGCACCGCTGATGTCACATGGGAGGCCACCGCACCACCAGCCACAACCATACAGCCAAGGTCACAGTCAGCCACAGCCACACACTGGGGCACACTCAAGGTGACAACCGCAGCACACACAGCGGTCCCCTAGTGATGCTGGGCCACCGGCCAGAGCTGTGGGCAGGCCACTGGGGTCCAAAGAGTGGGTGTGTCATGTCTGGGGTTCATGGGAACCCACGTGGATCCCGCAGGTGGAGTAAGCCCCAGCCCACCGCCCGGGGGGGGGGGGGTTAGCGGGCCCCAGGAAGGTGCCTGCTCGCTGAGCGCAGGAGGAGAGGTGCCCTCCGGGTCCCCCTGCCTGATCCCCACGGGGCCAACCCCGCCCGTGTCTGTCCGCAGGGCAGCAGCCCCAGAAGATGGCCCGGCGTGTGTTCACCAACAGCCGCGAGCGCTGGCGGCAGCAGAACGTTAACGGCGCCTTCGCCGAGCTCAGGAAACTGCTGCCGACTCACCCGCCCGACCGGAAGCTGAGCAAAAACGAGGTGCTGCGCCTCGCCATGAAATACATCGGCTTCCTGGTGCGGCTGCTGCGGGACCAGGCGACCTCGCTGGCCGCGGCTCCCGCCCCGCCCGGGCCCCGCAAACGGGCTGCGCATCGAAGCGTGGACGACGGCGCCCGCCGGGGCTCCGGACGCAGAGCCGCCGAGGCAGCTGCGCGCTCGCAGCCCGCGCCCACGGCTGACCTCGACGGCAGCCCCGGGGCGGCGGCCCGACCCATCAAGATGGAGCAAGCGGCTTTGAGCCCCGAGGTGCGGTGACCCCGCACGGCAGCGGCGGCGGCGCCTCTGAGTCGGCGGGCACTGGGGGACTCGGCCCACGGCCATCGCTCAGGAATAAACACCCTCAAAGAGAGAAGGGGCCGGTGAGGACGTGCCGGATAGGGAGACCCTGGGGAGGGGGGGTTCTGGAAGGGGACCCTGAAGACATTTAAAAAAAAAAAGCAAAAACAAAACCACGCACTGCCCGCTGGAAGTGGCCTTGCCCGTGTCCCCTTCGCCAAGGTCCAGGAACCAACAACGAGCGGTCATCGGACCCATTGCCCCCGAGCTGGGAGTCCACTGGGGGGAGAGGCAGGGCCGGGGAGTCGTCGCTCTTGTCGTTGGCGCCCCCTCGCGGAGTCCCGGGAGACACACGCCCCCCACCCCAGCCCTGGACGGCGTCTTGCTGCGCGCGTGTGGAGAGCGCGCTGGGCACGGGGAGACCCACCCCGCCGCCCCCGGCCCCGGCCCCTGCCCCGGACTCCCGGTCCCGACGGCGTCAGCGAAGGCTCAGGCGCTGTTGCTTTTGTTTGTCTTTATTTCTTTATTTCACATACACATTAGCCATTCAATGGAGAAGCCGGAGAGTCAGGCAAAGATGGTATAACCGTAGCGCAGTGACGGGGCGGGGCGGGGCGGGGCGGGGCGGGGACAGACGGGCTGGCTGCCTACTTGCATTCCGCTAGGACACTGAAACCCAGAAAACAAAACAGACAGTAAACTACCCTTGTTTCTTATGTATCTCAGTGCAGAGACGGGGGGACTGGGGGCGGCAGGGGGTGGAAGGCAGAGAGAGAGAGAGAGAGAGAGAGAGATAGAGAGGGGAGACCAGGCTGAAGGAGGAGGAGCCAGGGACGGGGGCGCTAAGGGGAAGCACACCAAATCCATTAGTACTATATATAGAGATACTCGTATATACTGCGTTTCTTAGCCTAAGAAGAAACTTGTTTGACGGGACGGGCGGCCTTTGCGGTCCGCGATGCTGGTGTTGGTCGGGCGCACGGATCTCCCGGGAGAGGCCGAGGCGGGGCTGGCCCAGGCTGGCTTGCTGGGGTGGGGTGGGGGGCGCCCCGAGGGTGGGGAGGGGGGGGGGGAGCAGAGGCGGGGCTGAGGAGCCCCTCGGGCTGTCGATCAGGGGACGAAAGTTGTGACCTTTATTGCTCCTTTTTTCTCTCGTGTGTGTGTGTGTGTGTGTGTGTGTGTGTGTGTGTGTAGGTTTGGAGGATGGGGGGCTGTCCGTTCAGCACGGTCGGGGTTCGAGTGGGGGAGAGTGTGTGTGTGTGTGTGGTGGGTGTCGTCTGAGCCACCCGGCCCCTCTGGGACCCAGAGCGCAGCGTCCGCTCCGCCAGCACGGGGGTGAGAACAAGGCACTAGGTCGGCCGGCCAGCGCGGGGGGCGGGTGTGTAAGGCAGTCGACGGGGCTGGTCGCGGAGGGTGGGGCGGGGCTGTGTGCGTGCGTGCGTGCGGGCGCGGGCCTGTCCCGGAGCGTGGAGCCTTCCCCCGTGCCCCCCGGAGGGCGCCGGGGACTGGAGGGATGCTGTTGAGTGTTGTTGGTGGGGGGCGCCGGGGACGGGGGAGCTGGGGGGAGGGGAAAGGACCAACTTGCTAGCGCGCTCCTGGGAATGCTGGTGACGGTCAAGTTGGCGTCTGGCTCAAAGAAGGGCGCTCGGGGGCGGGGAGGGGGGGACGTTTGTTCGTTGGCATTGACCTCTGCGGGGGGGAGGGGCCGGGACCCCCCGCCGCGCCCCTGTGCCCGGGCGGGGAGGGGGCGAGGAGGGGGCGCTGGGCCCTGGGGAGGGGGCGCCCCGGGGAGACCCGCGGCCGGAGCAGCCCCAGCCGCCGGGCGCTTGCCGCTGTCCCGTTCCGTTAAACTCAACAAAGAAGGGATATGCGTGTTCCTAACAAGTGCAGGATATTTGATTCATAAACTTATGTATAATAGTTTGTGGGTTTTTTTTAAAACGTACTTTTATAATGTTAAGCACCAGGGTTTTTTATGTTTAATTATTTTAAAAATAATTTTTCTCTCGTCCTTTTCCTTTTTTTTTTTTTGATCTGTGGTGGTTTTTAATATGTCGAGGTGGTTTTTAAAAAAATTTTTTTGTAACTCTGAAATGTTGAATGTTTCCTTCAGCCCTCCCACCGAAACTGAGAACGAAACGACGAAACAAATAAAAACCCCAGATCATTCTCGTCAACGCAAGAAAACGACTTTAAAAAAAAAGTGAAAACGAACAAAAAAAAATAATAAAAGGAAGAAACACTCAGCTTTCGTTGTCCCCACGCAGGGCGGGGGACAGGCCTAGTTCTTTTAGCGTCCCCAGAGCCGCGAGGACGTTACAACAAAAATAGAATGTTTTTTTTTTCTTTTTTCTTAATCTCTTAACATACAAAGATAGGAAAACTCTCTGACACATTGCACTTGATTCAATGAAAACAAAAAGTCCATTTCCCCCATATATATTTTTGTGGGTTTTTTTCCCCTCTCCTAAAACGTCCCCACGTCGGGTGCCCTCGCTGCCCCCTCAACGACACTCGGGAAAGGGGGCGGCCCACGCCCCCCACCCCAGCCCTTCCGGGCGGCCCCCGCCGGGCGCGCTCCAGCCCGGGCCCAGCTGGCCTGCAGCTTCCGACCTCGCTCGGGCGGGTGCCCCGCACACCCCGGCTCCCCGCAGGCTCGCGGCGCCCCGGGGGGCTCCAATTATCTTGGAGGGAAGGGGCACGGGCCCGCGCGCACGCGCGCGCACGGCCGGGCAGGAGAGCCCTCCGCTTCGCTCTCAGCTCTGACCCTGTTTAGCCACAACCCAACTGAAAAATCATTGCACTCTGACCGTGCAGTCACGCCCGGCCCACCCGGCCCACCCCCCACACCCCCACCCCGGGGAGGCTCCCGAAGGATCCGCCCCCCCTGCCCCTTAGTTCTGGGGTCCCCCTCAGCGCTGTAGCGCTGCCCAGGAGGGCTGGTGGAGGGCTTCGCTCCACTTCCATCAGAAGTCACCCCTGGGGCCAGCCACCTCGTGGCTTGCAGGTGGGGTGGAGGCACCCACCCCTGGCCCTTTGGCCCCCAGGTTAGGGCCGCCCTCCCCTCCCGCCCCCTGCTCGGAGCCGCAGCATCACAAGCTAGATTCACAATAAATAAAGCCCACAGCCCACCCCTACGTGGTGCAATGTTGGATTGACTTCCAGAGGGACCCTGACCTGTGCTTTATGTTTTCATAGAGTGGAGAGAGAGAGAGAGAGAGAGAGAGAGAGAGAGAGAGAGAGAGACCGACCGGACCAGGAAGGGGACTGGAGGGACGCATAGGAGAGAGTAAGGCACAGACAAGCCGGAGGGGCCAACCACACCCGGAGGGCGCTGGGCGTGCTCCTGCTCCCCTCCCTCCCAGGGGGGCTTCTCAAGACCCTCTGAACAGGCCCCCATCCCTTGGGGGGGGGGGAGGAAGGGCTAGGGGGAGAGCTACTTCCTGTGGTGTGTTTGCAAATTGTTCCCAAGTTGCTCAGATGGAAGAATCCCCAACTGCAACAGCGCGCAACACCCGGATGCTGACTGCCCACCCCTCAATGCGAAGACGTTACAGCTAAAATCCAGAGAGCGCTGGCTATGTGGGGGGTGGGGTGGGGGTGCGGGAGAAGGTGGGGAGGGGACGGAAAGCTCCAAAAAGAAGAAAAAAAAAAACCACTTTTTGCAAAGGACGACACCCAACACCCTCCATAGGAACTGAAAAGTCGGCGCGCAGGACGCCTACCTAAGCCCAGGTGGCGGCTCCGCCCACCGCAGCGGCTGCCTGGTTCTCCTCGCTCCGCTCCGGGTGTGTGGGGGGGTCCCCTTTCTGCTCCGCTCCCGGGCCCGGCCCCCGCAGGGCTGTCAGCGTGAGGGGCACGGGCCGATGGGGGCGGAGCGAGGGCACCTACATGCAAGGCTGGGGTGGGGTGGGAGGCGACCCGGGGCCCGACTCCCCCTCCTCGCTCGTGGCAGCGGAGGTGGGGGGGGGGCTGTCCCAGGCTGGGCCGGGCCGTGGAGAACATTCTTTCTCCCATGGACTCTACGGAGAGCCCCGGGAACCGCCCTTGGGCTCAGAGCGGGGTGGCAGGACCACCCCTCGCCTCTGGGCTCATATAGCCAGCTCCAGGGGGCGCCCTTGCCCACCCGGGCGCCTCCCAGCCTGGATCAGCACCTGGTGTCAAGAAAGGGCCGGAGCCCAGGCCGGGAAAGGGGGTGGGGTTGGAGGGGCGGAGTCTGGGGAGTTGGGGTCGGGGGGCGAGCCCACGGGTCTACACCCCATCATCCTTAGGAGCTGGTCCTCCGGACTCCTTGGGGGAGCTCCGGCCGAGCAGAGGGCGTGTGCTGGGGAGGGGTCCCCCTAGGAAGGGCGGGGGCGGGGGCCGGGCCCCTGCAGAACTGTGTGCTGGTTGCTTTGTTGGGGCTGGGGGATTGGGCTCCGTCCCCGGAGGGCCGGGGCGGGGGCGGGGAGGCAGTGCCGCCGCATCCTCGCTTCCTGTCCGCTGCGGGCAGAGTCCCGTTCGCGTGTTTCTCTCTGCTCGGCTGTTGGTGCACAGCTCCGCCGAGATCCTTCCGAGGGCTCTCCGAGGACTGGGGCTGCTTCTGGGGCCCGCGGGCGTCCCCGGGCTGGAGGAGAGAAGGGCTGAGTGGCTGACGACTCTTTAATTTTTGCTTTTCGGTGGGGCTGGGCTGGGCTGGGCTGTGGGGGATTTTTTTTTTCCATGTCTCAAAATTTCTTCTCCCCCCCTTTTGAGGAACCTCTTCATTTTGTTGTTTCTTTTTTTTTTTTTAAATCGATCTTATCAGAGGAACCAGGACTACAACGAGATCAAAAGGAAGGGGAAAAAAAAAAGGCAATATTGAGAACAGCCCAGGCAGGCTCCACCCACTCCCGCCGGCCCCCTCAAGGTCCAGGGCGCTCCAGGAGGAGGAAGCGCACCCCCCTCCTATGGGAATTCTCCCGACCCTGCCCACCCTCCCCGTGTTAGGGTCCAGCTGGCCTTCCCGTGGGCACTGTGCCCAGCGGGTGGGACCCCCGTGGCTGTCGCTGGCACAGCCCTGGGCCCTGGCCGTGTCTCCGACTGTTTGGGTTTTTGTGCGGGTCCTGGAGGGTGGGGAGAATGCCAGGCTGGGGCCTTTGTACCCAGAAGCGTTTAGGGAGTGGCGGGGGGGGGGGGCTGGCCTAGCTTCTTGCTACGTTTTCTTTCTGTCTCTTTGGATTAAAGGCAGAAATTCCCGTCTGTGCACCCCGCCAAAGTCCCACAGGCTGAAAGACGGGGGGGAGGATGGGGAGGTGGAGGGGGCAACCACATGGCTTCAGTCCCTAGCAGCGCCAGGCTTGGGGGAGGGGCCGGAGCCCACCTCCTGCAATCTACCCTAGGCGCACCAGACGCCCGGGAAGAACCGCAGGTTCCCCGGGGTGTGTGTCTCTGTCTTCTCCCAGAACGCCAGCAGGGGGCACCACCTTCCCACAGACAGGGCTTTGTCTGGGAGCGCATACCCAGGGCAGAGGGAGAGGGGCTGGGCTGTTTGGCTCCTGCCCCACCTTGTGGCCAAAGGGTGTGTGGGGGGGTGGCTTCTCCAAGCAGGTGCACCTAGCGCTGCCCCTGAGGACGCAATGGAGACCTCTCCCTGGCCCTGAGTTGGAGGCTGACTTCCATATAGCATGCCGCAGGTACTGACTCATTCCTCCCTTGCCCCCAGGCCACACAGAAACCAGGCTCTGAGAGGGTGGGTGACCTGCCAGAGGCCACACAGCCCTCCCAGGACAGAAGCAGAACTCAAGCTCAAGCTGACAGTGAGGAATCCACAGCTGCTAACCGAGGCCGGAGGCTGTGCCTGGGGGCGACCCAGGGCTGCCACCAGGGCTGTTGGCGCTGGGGTGGGGCCTGAGGTGGCTACAGCCACACAGTGTCCTGAGAAACCGGAAAATTTCCCATCTTAAAAACACTGTCCATCAGTTTATGTCTGCAGGCGGGACCTGCCCCACTCTGGCCCCGCTGTGTGGCGGGGGTGCTGAGTTGGAGAATGGGCAGGGGCCTGGATCCCTGGGGACTTTGCTGCGATGGTGGCCACGCGCTCTGTCTGTCTGTCTGTCTGTCCAGGGCTGCTGCTAGTCCCCCAGTGGCTTCCAAGACCCTGGAAGCCGAGTAGGGTGACGGGCGGACTCCGTTTTTCTGTTGTCAGTTTGACTTAAATTTGGTCGGGTGTGGCAGGTGGCCGCCACTCTGGACCGCGGTGGTGGTGGGGGATCTGGAACTGCCACAGAAAAAAGCTCTATGGCCTACCCCACAACGGGACAAGGACCACCCGCCAGACCTGCCCTCGCTTTGTGCGGTCCCCTCCAGCACCTGCCACGGGACCCAACCTCAGCCACTGACAAAGGGCAGCCGGAGAGCCAGGCCCAAGGCTTCACAGAACAGGGGGAAAGGGCCGGGGCGGCTGGATCTACTTGGGGGGCATGGCCAGGCCAGGAGCCAGCCTGGGTGAGGCGCCCCCGCCCTCCCCCAAAATCGGGCCTTGGGGTTTTCTGTGACTTGCTACCTTAGGGGAGACTACAGGGGAGCCTTGCACCATGGCTCCCACAGGTGTGGGGGGAGGCTATGGCTTTGGCTGTGACCAGGACAAATCATGGCAGGGCCCCAAGCCTGCCCCTTCAGGGTCCTCTGAGCTGCCGGGTGTGGGGACTGCGCCAGCTTGTAGAGGGGGGCGGGCTGCCCCCCCCAGGAGAGGAAGACCCCAGGGACAAAGGCAGCTTCAAGGGGGCTCCCCGGCACCCGCCTCGGGTCCCGGGAATGGGATCTGCTGCCAAGCCTGGAGCTGCCTTTTTTTTTTTGCTCACCCCTTCCTCCCCGCCTCCTGATTAAAACTAAGTAAAAAAGCGCTACCCAGGGAAAGACAAAATTGCTAAAATTCTCTTTTCTTCCCTCATTCTATTGTTCTCTCTCCATCTGGCGCTGGAGAGATCAGCTAAAGTCACTGGTTACTGTGGAAACCACCCCCCGACTGTAGCCCTGTGCCCGCACCGCGTCCGCCTGCCCCCCCAGGCCTGAGGGCTCCCCCCAGCCCCGGGCCCCAGACACACCTGCCTGCTTTGGGGACCTGGACCTGGGCCTGCACTCCTCTTGCCCACCTGGGCCCCCTGCCCTAGACTGGGGGGTGGGGAGGGACACAGTGGAGGTGAGAAGCTGTTTCCCCAACTTGCCTCAAACTCTGACTTGGCCCCAAAACATCCAAGTAAAAAGTGAGTGGGGGGGGCGGGAGAGAAGGAGGTGAACGGGGAAGACTCTGCAGCCAGAGAGCCTCAGGCCCCAGCAGCCGTGGAGGCCCCGGAGGGAGGAAGGGAGGGAGGGAGGGAGGAAGGGAGGGAGCAGTGGAGCCCGCTGCCGGTGCCAGCCCAGAGCCAGGAGGGGCGGCCGCCTGCTGTCCCCTCCTCTGGTACCCCCTCCCGCCCACTGCCAGCAGAGCTCTCTGCCTCCCTGGCACAGAGCGGAGGGGGTGGCTCCAGCCCCTGCTCGGAGCCATTGTTTTTCTTCTCAACACCCCCAAGTTCAAGTTCATCTGGGTGTTACATCATGTCTGGTTGCTCCTGGAAACCAGACGGGTCAGACGTGACTCTGGGGAAAGGGGGTGGAAGGCTGGAGGGGGCTGAAGTTCGCTTCCCCTCCCTGCCTTGCCGCTAGAGAGCTCTGGAGTTTGAAGTCTGACAAAGTTTTTTGGCTTTTTCTTTTTCTTTCTTTCTTTCCTTTTTTTTTTTTTTTTTTTTTTTTTTTTTTTTTTGGTATGTGTGTGTGTGTGTGTTTTTGAGGAAAGGAAAGGAAAGAAAGAAAAAGAAAAACCCTCAAACCACACACACACGAAAATTTCATCCACCAACTTTCTCTGGATGGGGGCCTCAGAGAGCGTGAACAAGACCGATTTCCCAGGGCCAAGGAAGCTTCCAGAGGGGGTGTTTTCATGAAGCCGTGCAAGAGAAAAGACTTTTGCGTTCTTTTCCAAAGGCCCACGCTATGGACAAGGCAGGGTCCTCCCAGCACCATCTGAGGACCCCTGGCCGTGCGGGCTGCTCTCAGGGGGACAGGCAATTAGGGGACCCCACATGTGCACAGCCGGGGCCCCATCCTGGGACCTCCAGCAGGACTGAGGGTAGGCTGTGTCCTCCGGAGAAGCTGGGGTAACTCCAGTGGGGAATGGGAGTGGGGCTTAGGGGTGCGGGGAGGGGGGCGGGGGGCTCCAGCAGTCTGGCCTTCTCTCTAGCAGGACTCAGCCCGGGGCTCGGGGAGGGGCCTCCCCGGGGCTGCAGCCAGCCCTGCCTTGCCTTGCCCAAGGGCTCCAGAGCCTCTGGGCACACAGCCCACCAGGCCCCTCTGTCCCTCCTCCACTCCCTGCCCAGCCCACCCAAAGCCAGGAAGAGGGAGGGCCGGGCTGGGGCTTCCAGCCGGCGCTCAAGGGGCGGAGGGAAAGGGAAAAGGCAGATGGGGTCTTCCTCCTACAAGGGGCTCAAGCTTCCATCTTTGCTTCCACCAGGCCTGGCCCGGAGCAACTTGGTCCTAGGTCCTTGGCCGCTGTCCCCTGGGCTGTGCTGTCAGAGCTGATCAGCCAGGGAGCCTGGGGGTGGCCCGGGGGAGGCAGGCTCAGCTGGGTCTCCCTCCCAACAAAACGCACCCAGCCCCGCCTGCTCCTGGCTGTCCCCACCCCCAGCCCACCCCCTGACCGCGGCAGGTGTCCCACCTGAGACTGCTGTGGGATATTCAGAAAGTTGCCGTCCCGGGGTCCGATGCTGACAAACCGGTTGGCAGAGGAGGCGCCTGTCGTTGCGAATGCTGTGGAGAGCAGGGGAGAGAGGGAGAGACCCCATCAGGACGTGGGGCCCGCCTGGGCACTGCCCTTTGGGGCTGCTGAGAGAGGGAGAGACTGGGTTAGATTGTGCGCCCCTCCCCCGGGGGGGGGGTTCAGGCGGGTTCGAGGAGGGCGGGCCAGGCTCCACGCTGGTCCCCACCCCACCCCCGCCCTGCACACTCTCATCCACTCCCTGATGGGGAGCACACAGGCACCCCCCACTCCCTCCCAGCCTCAGCCACCCCCAACCCAGGCAGGTAGCAGGCAGGGGGAAGTTCACAGAGCCTGACGGAGGGGTCAGAGCTGGGCCCAGGAGGTGGCAAGGTTTAGATCCGTGACCTGTGACATTCTCTTCCTTGGACTGATACACTGGGTCCCAGAAACCTGGGACGGGCCAAGGCCACAGAGGAGGAGGCTGGAGACCCAGGGCCCAAGGGAACAAGTGAACCAAACACCCCAGCTTTTCTCCGGTTGCCTGGCTGGTGCCCTGCTAGACGAAGAGCCCTCCCCCCTCCCCCCCCAACCCGGCACCCTGCAGGAAAGATGCCCCCCACCCAGAGGGGACAAGGGCGTGTCACGGGCATCTGAGAGGCCCACCTCTTGTCCCACACCGGACCTACCCAGGGAACCCTGTGCCCAGCAGCTTCTTCTTTTTCCAGAAGCCCCTCCCTACTGCCCGCAGCCCCTCCCCTCCCCTCCCCTGCCCACTTCAGTGACCATGACCATGACCTTGAGTCTTATGGCAGATGCAGGTGGGACGATGGCATGAAGAGTGCAAAAGAACTGAAACCATGAGGGAGGAGGAGTGGGGGGAGAGCGAGAGAGAACGAGAAAGAGCAAGAGAGCAAGAGAGCGCACGGACGAGAACGGGGTTGAGATGGGCCACCTGCCTGCCCACCCGCCCTGCTGCACACCAGGCCTGGGGCCCTCCCAGCCCCCCAGAGCGCTGTCCGGGCCCCCCACCCCACCCCCAGAGAGCACACGTCCTTGACCCTCGACCTCTCCTGTCCGTCACATCGGGGTCTACCTGGGGCCTCTGCATTCAGATTTGTCTTTCTTTTTCCTTTGATAAAACTTGTCATTGGTTTGAACGAAAAAAAAAAAAGGAGAGAGAGAGAGAGAGAGAGAGAGAGAGAGAGATGAAGAAAGCAGAGGCCCAGAGCCCTCCTGTGTCTTTGGAGCATTCAACCTGGGAGAAGAAGGGGAGGGAAAAGTATGGGGAAAAGGTTAAAAAAAAAAAAAAAAAAGAGAGAAACAAGGAGAAACCGATGTGCGACTGAGGCGGGTCGGGGTGGGGGGCTGGCCTGCTGCGTCTTGGAGGCCCCAGAGCCTGGGAACAGAGGTGAAGTGGGGGCCAAGGCAAAAAGGGGATGGTGGTGGCGTCGCCTTGTGGTTACACTGAATTGGCCTGGTGTGTGTGTTGGGGTGGGGGGTGGGGGGGAGAGGGAACAACAAAACAATAAAAAAAAATCAAAAAAACCAAAACCAAAAAAAAAATGAAGATGATATGGCTGTGCCTCCCCGCCCCTCCCCCCTGTGCCAGCACCCCCAGAGAGGGGGGGGCCTGGCGCCCCCACACTGTGCTCTCCCTCCTCCCGTCCCCCAGAGGGGCCTGGTGGGGCGGTGGGGGGGCAGCCCTGCTGGGAGCAGCGGGCAGGGGGCAGGTGGGGCGCTGGCCGCTGTGTGAGGCCCAGGAGGCTGAGCTGGTTTTGGGGGGCGGGGGTAGGGAGGGGTCTGTGGCAGGAGTGGGGGGGTGATTTTTTTTTTTTTTTTTGCATGGAGACTTGTGTGGCTGGTGGCCGGGGCTGGGGTGGGGGGCGGGGGAGGCCAGGCCGAGCGTGGCGGTTCGGTTTCATCGTCCACTTACAAGGCGACGGAGGAGTCAAGGCGGCGCCGTCTGGGGCAGTGCTGGTGGATTTGGAATCAGGCATAGGAAGGGGCACAGGTCTGGCCACTGGAGGCGGCGGCGGTAGCAAAAATGACCCCGGGACTTTGCCCTGGCTGCTACCGTTGGGCTGCGAACAACATAAATAGAGTGACGTATGAAGGCACATCCCACACAGACACAAGCTCCCCTGCGCGGCCACTCCGGAGCGCTGGGCGGGAGCTCCCGCTGGAAGGTGCAGGGCCGGTGGGGTCCTCGCCACTCCGGGCAGGGGGTGGGGGTGGAAGGTCTCCATTTGGTCTCTGTGTGTGGGGGGAGGTGTTTCTCTCTCTCTTTCTCTCTTTTTTTTTTTTTTTGTCCTCTTTTTTGGGAGGAAGAAAGGGGGTGTTGGACGGATGGACAGACGGACAGTTTATTTCATAGCGTGCAAAAATGTGCCACTGAGCTGTAGGTACAGCTTCACCTCCAACTCTCGCTGCTGCGGCTCGCCCCACCATCCACCTGCCCACCTCCCTCCGTGGGCCCTTGGGCCGGGCTAGCTGCCCCAGCCAAAGGCTGCAGGCCCACCAAGCACCCAGCTGGTGACACAGCCTGGGTGCACATCGGCAGCCAGGGGAGCTGGCCCCGGGCTCCGGCAGCCGGTGGCCGTGGCTGCCAGCTCTTTTCTCGGAGGCATTTCCTCGACACGCTCTGAAACCACAGGACCCACTCCTTGTCCTTGGTGCCATCTTGGACCCCAGAGTGGATCACGGCCTCGCGTGGGTCGGGCCTCAGGCAATCGCGGGTGCCACAGGTTTGTCTGTCTGTGCTGGACAATAGCCGAAGAGCGCCTGCGGCCCAGGCAACTGAGCTCTACATCCTAACCGGCCCCTCTCTGCGCCGATGTCTCCAGCCAGCCCATCGTTCCTGCCCCCTCCACTGACTGCACCGGGACACGGCAATGAGACTCCACGGAGTCTGCTGCCCAACACCCTGTGGTGCCCAGGCCAGCTCCTCAGGACCCAGGCTAACACAACGTGCCCGGATTCCCAGCTGAGATTGAGGCACTGCACAGGAGGGAGGTTACCCACAGTCACCCAGCCACAGCTGGCCAGACTTGTCTGGGCTCCAGGGACCCTGGCACGCCAGCCGGTGGGGAGGCCCATCTATGTCTTCCCCAAACCACTTCTCTCGTCCTCCGAAGCCGTCCAGAGCTCTGGCTGCCTCAGACCTGAAGTGCAATCTCTCCGGGTGGGCGCTGGAGTCTCCCGTGGGGCTCAGACACCACGCATGCCCCCAGTGCCCCGCGGGCACCTGCCAGTCACACAGGTGGAGCAGCCGAGGCTCGTCACGAGAAATCCTCCAGACCCCTTCCCCTTGCTCTTCAGGGACCGCTCAGGAAATGACAGCTCCTCCTGGGGACCCGCCAGGGCCTGGGAATGAGGCAGCCCACCTCTCTCCGCCCTGTTCTTTCAAGGGAGCCTCGGAAGCAGGCAGTCCCCTGGGGCTTCCCAGTCCTGCTGAGGAGCCAGCGAGCGCGCGGGCGAGCGCGGTGCTGTCCCATCTGACCTGCTGCATCTTGAATCCGCAGGACCCCACCATCCTGGACCCCCTCATGACAAGGGGATCTTCAAAAAATTCATGGAAAATGCTTATTATGAAAAAAAAAAAACAACTATGCCTGTCTCTCAAAAAAAAAATCTTTGCACCAGCACAAATGTGCATTTAAGGTTTGGTTTCTGTGAACCCTAAAAGGTTCCCTCCATACAACTGCTGCCACCTGCTCAAGGGTAACAACCCTACATGGCCCCCCACCACCACCACCACAAAAGCAAGTCCCCACCTGTGTCCGGGGCTGGAGACCCCTTTGTGCTGGGGGAGGGCTCACTCAGCAGCAGCACAGGTCAGAGGGCAGGGGCCACGCCGAGGTCCCAGGGGCAAGGGCGTCTGTCCCCTCCTCCGTCCACACGGCCTGCCCTGCACTCCCGTCTCGCTCTCCCATCACAGATCGCGGCTTCACTCTGTCTGCCAGGCCGGCTGGGACCCGGAGGCCTTTCCTTCCTGCCCCAGAGCCTGTGACCCCAGGCCTAGCTGACTGCCCATCCCACCCACTGCGGACAGACCCTGCCACCCGCTGATTTGCAGCGCTCTGCTCCTGCAGGGAGCTTCCGCCTGGGCTCTGGGCACGAGCCGGGGCTTTAGAAATCTCAAGGTCCCGTGAGTTTGCAGTGCCTCCCACTTTACAAGTCAGGGGCCAGAGGAAACCTGGAAGCTGGCGTGGCTCCTCCCTGCCCTCCTAACAAACGTCTTTAACCAGGCCTCCTGCCTCCCCACCAGGGGCCACTCTCCCACGAGGCCTTGCGGCTGCAACGTGGCGCTTGCGTGGCTCTCTCTCCTCTCCCTAAAGCACCACCAGCCACGCAGCCTCATTCTGCCTCTGCATGTCCTCTGAGTGGTGTGTCCACCGCACCTGTCTAGGACATCGCACTGTGCCAGGCATTTTCCTACGAGGCTCTTGCGGGACTGGCAGGTGAGGGACTTACTCCTCCGGGTTCCAGATCTGTGCTTCTCAACGTTGCCCCAAGCCCACTCCCCAGCCAGCAGCACCACCACCACCACCTGGGAGCTTGGAAGAAATGCAGATTCCCAGGCTCCGGCCCGGACCTACTGGATCAGAGCCTCGGGGGTTGAGGCCGCGGTGGGCCTCTTCCCCAACCCCGCCACACACACACACCCCTAGGATGAGTGGAGCTTGCCCAGAAAGGCGCGCCGAGGAGCTGCGGAGCCAGCAAGAGACACCCTCGCAGGGCAGAGGAAGGAAGACCAGGAGGAAGGCGGGAAGAGAAACAGCGGGAAGGAGGAGGGCCCTGGGCCAGAGAGCAAGCAGCCACGCCGCGGCCCAGTCGCAGCCAGTCTAGCAGCATGGAGTCGACGCCCGTGGTGCATAGCGCTGCCCAGACAGCACTGGGCTGAGTGGCAGAAGGCAGCTGGCCACTCTCCCTGGGGGCTGCCTCTGGCACGGGCTTCCTGAACGCCTCTCCCCAGCCCAGCCTCTCCCAGCATGCTTCCAGACTGCACCGGGCGGGCTGGCGGCGGCTGTGGCGGTAGGGAGTCGGGGAGGCCTCCAGACACTGCTTTGTCCCTGCAGGGGTCCCCCGAAGACTGAGCCAGGACCACCAGCCCGCTCCAGGGTCACCTTGGCCCACCACCTTGGGGATCCTGCCTTCCCCTGAACGGTTCGTTCTAGGCTGAAGGCTTTGCCGCCGCCGTCTGTCTCCCAGGGGTGAGGAGCAGAAGCCTCGCTCCAGGGCCAGAACCATCCCAGGATCCCTCTGGGCCAGCCCCGTGGAGGGGGCCTTCCCTCTGCATCTCACCGCGAAAGCTTCTTCCACCACCACCTGCCCCTCCCCGGGGGGCAGGGAGGCCTGCCGAGATCTGGGGACAGAGAGGGTGCTCGCGGCATGGCATCAGGTGATGGAGGCCAGAGAGGCTGTTCAACACCCCCCACGCACAGGACGGCCTCGCCCCCACGGGCAGAGCGACAGCCCCAAACGTCGCGAGGGTCGCGGAGTGGGGAGAGCTGGCCCTCACAACACCTCGCAGCCCCCGGGGGTTGAACACACCTCAGGGTCGCTTGTACTGGGCGAACAAGGCCCACAGCGGGCTGGCAAGGAGCCCAAGGGAAGAGGGGGCCAGCTGCTGGTCCCACCCCTCCAGACCACGACAGACAGGGCCCTCGCACAGCGCAAGGACCCGATCAGCAGATCCACTGGTTTTCAGGCCCTTCCCCGCTGTGAGCGCTGAGACAGACAGACACAGAGATGAGGCCACCTGGCGCGCATCCTCCCCTAGGTGGGGAGTGGGGGGACTCACCTGTCCGGTGGCCTGGCCCGAACCATCGGCGCACACAAACTGCACAAACTCCTTCAGAGAGTCCTGGCCGTGGTGATGGTGGTAGCGGATGGTCGGGTGTGTGAAGTATGGGCTTGACTGCTGGATGATGGACGTGGAGGGGAAGTGCAGGGCCGACGCCGTGGCCCGGGGGCTGCCTGCGCGCACAAGGAGGAAGAAAGAGGGTGTTAGGGCCCCGTGAGGCAGCCTTGGCACAGGGGACTGGGGAGGAGGAGGGCAGAGCTGCAGCTGCAGGCGGAGAGGAACAGGTCCTGAGTAGGTGAAAGCAGGAGAGGCCCTGGTCTCGGGTGTGAAGTTAAGGCAGCAGCGAGCCGACATCAGTCACCGAGATCTATAAATCTCAATGCAATTAAAAAAAAATGGAAAACTGGTGGTGGTGGTGGGGGGGTGGTTTGGGGAGGCCTGTAGACTGGCCATTTTGTTTTGGCAAAGTTTGATCCAGAACCAGGGCTTGGGTTCAGGAGAGGCGGGCAAAGCAGGCGTCAGAGCCTGTCTTTAAGATCCTTTCAAAACATGGTAACCTGCGCTCATCAGTGTCCTTTCTTGCAACGGCTTTTTTTTTTTTTTTTAAAGAAATGTTGCATTTAAATATCCTGAGGATTGAGTTCTTGGACCCTCTGACATCTTGCACCTGCGGGGAGCGCCTCACTGGACCCCACCCCCACCCCCGCCCCAGGGTGGGAGCCTCAGGAGGGGATAAAGAAGCAGTGGATGGGTCTGTGAGGGTTTTTGGTAAAAACACAGCTGTGCAAGATGAGTGCCACCCCCCACGCACGCACACGCGTGTCCTAAATGCGAGCCGCGTGCGCCTGGCCACCGGCGTGCAGGCCGCATTCCTGAGCCCGCACACGCGGCCCGCGCACACACGATTTCCACCCCGCACTGGCCCCAGCTCTTCCTGGAGCTGAGTCCTCTCCCCCTCCCCCCCACCGCCCGCCGCCGCCCGCCCGCCCGCCCGTCTGTTTCCAATCAGCTCGCTCTCGCTCTCTCCCTCTCTCGCTCTCTCTCACTCTTGGTTTCATTAGGGGGCTGAGGAAACTTGGCTTCTCTATGGAGTTCATAAAAACGGAGTCGGAGCCAGCCGAGCCGGGCCTGACGCCCTCCTGCTGCCTGCGCGCAGGGGAGGGCCAGGGCTCCCCGCCCCCACCTCGCTGCGGCCACCACACCCTGCCCCAGTCTCTGGGCTCCCAGCCAGGAGGCCCCAAGGAGGAAGCCAGGAGGTAAACCTCTCTGTTCCCTGCCGGCCTACGGGGAGAACCCCGAAGACCGCAGGCCGGCACAGGGCCGTGTCAAGAGAAAGGCCAGCGCTCCCGTCCCCAGATGGGTGCCGAGGGAGGAAGGCCCCGGGTGGAAGAGCGAAGGACCCCAGGCCTCGCCTAGGCTCTCACGCCTCCTCCAGGAAGCTCCCAGTCCCAGGACACACGACAACTGGGCTCAGCCTCTGGGCTCAAGGGAGGCCTCTGTGGTCCCCTCCCCTTCCCCCAGGGCTGGTGTCCGGAGGCACCATCCCAGGCTGCACACAGCACCCATGCACACCTGCACGTGGGCAGTGAGAAGCAAGCGAGAGGGTGCCCCGGAAGCAGTTAAGCAGGTCCCCCTCTCCCCTGGCCCCCCCCCAGGGGGGGCAGGTGGGTCCGCTCTGTGCTCCCACCCGCGGGCTGCCCACAAGACCCCTAGAGGAGCTCGGGGCTGTCACTGAGGCGGGTCCTGGCCCCCTGGGCTGCTGGGTGGGTCTCCTCCCGTGCTGCCCCGCCCCCAGCCCCTCCCCCGTGTCTCACCTGGTCTGACTCCTGCAAGCACAGGCAGCGGGTGGTGGGTGAAAGCCATGCGCGGGGAACCGCCCTGAGAGGAGAGGGCAGTGCAGAAGTCCAACTTTCCAGACTTCTTTAGAGAAGCCGGGCCTGGGGGGAGGAAGCAGCAACACGGGGCAGGTTTAGCCCGGCTGGGGCGGCGGCAGGCGGGGCAGGGGGGCGGGGCGCGGCGGGAGGCCAGCAGCTCCTCCTTGTCTCCTGGGGGGGGGTGCCCCTTCCCCTTCCTCCACTAAGGGCTCTGCTCCCTCCTCTGGTGCCTGTGTGCAGGTGGGTGGGTGGCCTGTGCCCGCTTCTGGCAAGACAGCGAAACGGGGCCCCTGGGTTAAGGTGGGGAGGTAGGGGTGTGCACCAGCAGGTAACAGAAGGGAAAAGGGGGTGGGGGGACACAGGGCCAGCCTTGGGAAGGGGTGCAGGGGGACGCCCCGGGGAGCCAGCCTGGGGACGGGGCGGGGAGGGGCGAGGAGAGGGCAGACCTGGAGGGACAAGGGTGGGTCTGTGACAGGGGTGCCCTGAGCTGCCACTGGGGGGGGCTCTGGCCGGAAGAAACCCGCTCAGGAAAGAAAATGCAGCCAGCCATGGGTCCCCCCAGTGTGTGTGTGTCGGGCGGGGGCATGACACCCAGTGAGAACGGGGACAGGGACTGCAGGACCTGGAGGGTCCCGGAAAAGCCTGTTACCAGCCAAATCCACCACAGCCCAGTGGGCGGGCAGCGGGGTGGGGGGGTGTCCCTGCTGGAGGTCCAAAAAGGACCAGGACAACCCAGGGCTGGCCTCTCGCTGTTGGAGCGCATCTCCCGGCCTGGGGCCGACTTTTCAGGCTGTGCCCAGGCTGGGAGGGGTGAAGTGGGGTCAGGGCACATCTGCCCTCCCTGATTGACAAAGGGAGACAGGTTGGATGCTTGTAGGGGTGGGGAGGCTGCAGAGCAGAGAAATAGGGGCAGGCCTCACTGCGGAGGGAAGAGGCCGGGGGGGGGGGAGGCAAACTCCCAGCCGTGCCAGCAGAGGTGTTATCTGGCGGCAGCTGTGTGCCACCTGATAGCTGGCACGGTGGGGAGGGGGGAGCGCCCCACCAGCTGTGCACAGCTGTCCCCGTGGCCGCACAGCGCCTTCCCAGCTGTTCCCCGTCCTGCAGCTGAGCTGCTTAATTGGCGATTTGTCGCAGCCTAGGGAAACGACACACGGGGAGGAGAGAGGGGGGCGGGCGGGGAGCGAGGGAGCCAGGGTGTGTGTGTGTGTGTATGTGTGTGCGCGCGCGCGCACGGGGTGGGGGTGGGGGGGTGGGATGCTGCTGCAGGAAGATGTGTGGGGGCCGTGCGTGGCGGGGCTGCCGGAAGCAGCAGAACGAGCAGGTGCAAGAGCAAACAGCCAAGAAAGGAGAGCTCGGGTGCCAGCGGGAGGAAGGTTCTTCAGCAGCTAGGTCTGGGCATGGGCGGGCCGGCCTGCGAGCCCTGGCCCCCCCGGGGGGGCGGGGAACAGCAGCCGAAGCCCCTCGGGGTGCCCTGGTGGCAATCCCTGCGGAAGGGGACCCCGGACCGAGGCCTCGGCCGGGATAGACCTAGGCCTTCTCAGTTCCTCTTGCCTCCTCCCAAAGCTCCCCTGTGGGTGGGCCAGCCTGTGGACTGGCACTGGCCCAGGTCCCTGCTGCACAAGGAGACCCTGAAGGGGGAGCCCCCGCTCTGAGAGCCACGCCAGGTACCGTCCTGCAGCGGCCTCCGCTAGGTGGGGGCCTCTGGGCACTCGAGTTCAGTTCTTCAACCCCAGGCTGGGAGGTGAGCCCGCCCCTCTCCTCCCCAGGAGTCCAGAGCAGAGGGGCAACACAAAAGCAAGTCGCCTGGCTGCCCCGCCTGGCCCCTGCCTGGCCTCCCAGCCCTCCCCTGTAGCAGCACATCTGGGAGATGCCAGACAAAGCACCAGCAGTTCAGACCCCTGTCCCTGGCGGATGCACCGAGCACACACCCCCGCCCACGTGTGGGTCTGCAATCCTTGGTCCCAAGACCCCCCAGCCCCCAGGACACACACACAGACACAGGCAGGAGTCTCCTGCAGCCAGCCTCCGTGCAGTGTGCACACATGCACAGGTGCCCCGGGATGTCTACACTCTCTCAGCGGGCTGTCTAGTGTGTCCATACCCCAGTCAAAGCTGGCAGGGACGCCAGGGGGGCGTGGGGGAGGTTCCACAGGCAAGAAGTGTTCAGAGGGGCCCGGGAAGGGCCAGGTTGGCTTCCAAGGCCTCTGCCGTCCTGGTGTGTGAACCACCAGCCTACTCCGCACTTTGCTTCTCTGCAAAGCTGGGTCCCTAAGGCCAGGGCTCAGCCCCCAGGGGGACCGTCCCTGGGGGCCACTGCACGATGTCCAAGGACAGCTTTGCTCATTGAGGCTGGGGGTGAGAAATGTGCTGGAATCCAGGGGGGAGGGGCTGGGGTGCAGCTCAGCATCCTACAGTGCCCAGGACCCCCACCCTGAAGGGTGAGGAGGTCCCAAACGCCCTTGGTGCCCCGACTGGGAGAGTGGAGGGCGGGAGGGTGGGGCCTCGCCCAGAAACACAACACTACCTGCCTGTTGGCCCCTCACCTACGCTCTCTTCCTTCAGCCCAGTCTGCCCTCCACAGGGAAGGCCAGGAGGGGCGAGACGGACGGATGGACAGTGAGTATCCTGTGGGAGGCTCCGGGCCGCCCCTGCTCGGGTCGAGACGGCCAGCACCCATACCTGCGTCCACGTCGTTGGGCCATCCGCTGGACTGGCTGCTGCCAGCCGCCGGGGAGCGGCCTGTCCCGGGATAGAACACGTCGTCGACAGGGCTCTCCATCTCGCTGTCATCAATGGACTTGGGGCGCTTGGTGGTGCTGGGAAAGGAACGGAGGGTCAGACGGGCCCAGGCTCCAGGGAGCGACTCGGGGCTTGCGGCCTTCCGGGTGGTTAGCGGTGCCTGCCTTTGGCAGCCCGACCCCAGAAGCATCCCCGGGGCCCCTTGGGCCCGGTCCTGTCCACTCCCTGGGGGAAAGATGGCTCCAAAATGGCCCCTTCTCCCCCAACCCTTGACACCACTATCCCGTGAGCTTCCTTCTGGGCTTATTCATCCAGGGCCGGGTAGAGGTGAGTGTGGTACTCATGGGGACAGATGTCGGAGGGGAGGGGAGCAGTTGCCAACACTCAGTCATCAAAGAACATCCCAATGCAATATTTAAAGTACGCTATATAAATACCAAAAATGTCACAGGCAACAGAAACATTCAATTTTTTTTTTTTTTTTAATGACAGGATCCGACCCTGCCCTGACCAGACGTGACTGTCTCCTGTGGCCCAAGCACTTCTCGGTGCCATTCCCAATCCTCCCACAGCTCCCCTAGCCAGTCCAGGCCTTCTTCCACTCGGACCTGTGGGAAGAGACCTGCCTCAGCTGCCCGTGCTCAGAGGGAACTTTCCAGAACACCACGCCCTGCTCCAAGCCCCTCAGGGCTCCCCTACTGCCCCAGAATGTGGTCTGAGTACATGTGGGGGGGGGGCTCCAAAGCCCTCCACTGCTTCCACCCCGTGTCCTGGCCAGCCCTCGGAGTGCCTGGGCTCAAATGTCACCCTCCGCCCCCGGCTGGGATCCCCGCATCCCATGCCACGTGGGAAGTGGCCCCAAGGGCCATGGGGCAGTTCCGAGGGTGGCCCACCTTGGGAGGGCCTGGGGTGGTGGTGTGGGGGGGCGGTGCTGGGCTCACCTGGTGGAAGGAGGGGAGGTGATAGACCGTCGTCCCAGGGTCACCTGGTTTATGTTGTAGTAGCTGGGGCTCTCCAGGTCCGCCAGCGAGAAGTTGGGCCCTGATGCGGTCGCAACGGGAGCTGGGGGGAATGAGAGGCTGGGTGAGGTCTGGAAAGCGCAGGAGGCCCCGGGTCGGGTGCGGGGGTGGGGGAGGTGGCAGCCAGGCTGCCAAGGGGACTTCCTCCCGCAGGGGGCTGCTTGAAGAAGAGCCCCTGGTTGTGACTTTTTTTTTTTTTTTTTTAAATTTCTTCCAAGCAGTGGAGTTCAGAGCTGTCCAGACAGCTGTGTTCCACCCAGCCCTGCAACCCTGCCTGCCCCAATCCATCCCCCTGGCCTAGCGGCTCTAAGTCCCACCCCCCCCCACCCCCGTCCTGGCCCCGGGGAGGCGGAGGCCCACTTACTCTGTGACACTCTCACCAGCTCCGTCACATTCCAGACCCCGGAAGTCACGAAACAGTCCTGGAAACTTAAGTGCCCTGTAGAGGGGGGAGAAACGGCTGTGAGTGGGGGGGAGCTGGGGGGACTCCCTCCCTCCCACGCTGGCTTCTGGCTCCACACTGGCCCTGCTTAGAAGGGCAGCTGAAGGCAGGGGGCAGCAGAGGGCAGGCGGGTGGAGGCACTGACCGTTGGGCAGTGGTTTGATGTCCGCGTCTCCTTGCTGGTTGGAACTGTCTGATTGTCCGGATTCTGCAGGAGACACAAAGAACAAGGTGGGTCAGGAACAAGGCTTCCCGACCGACGCCGGCCGGCCACGGAGCTCCCAGGAGCGCAGCCCACCTCGCCGAGCCCACCCCCAGGAGACCAGGCCTACACCTCGCGCAGGCTTCTTAGTGGCGGCACACTGCTGACATTCGGGCCTCCTCCGTGGGCTACCTGCGGGAACCTCACTTGTCACCACCACCAAAGGGTCTCCAGACAGTGCCCAAAGTCCCCATGCCTCACCCCAGGGGCCGGCAGCCCTGAACACAGCCAGCAGTTGGCCCTGGGCACAGCTGGGGCGGACGCAGGCCCCTGAGCATTCTGGTCCCTGTCACCCCGTGGGCCCCTCCTCCGGCCTCACCTTTCTGTTTGCAGGCAGCGCCTGGCAGCCCTGGGCGGGGTGAGGCGGGGGGGGGGGGGCTCTGCCCCACTGCTGCCGCCCGCCCCGTGCCAGCCAGTCTGGGCCGTCTCTTGCCCTGGTGCCACAGCTGCTCATAGGGAGCCCCGGGACAAGGGTCCATTGTACGGTGGGACTCGCCGAGCGCTGGGGGCAGGGTGGAGTGGGTGTGTGAATTTGCTGCTGAGCTTGGGAAAGCCCCCCGCCCCCGCCCCCGGGGTCCTCAAAGCTTTGTGTGCCAGGGGCACCACGGGGACCTCCAGAATGCCTGCCCGGGCACGACAGCTGGCGAGAGGGTGGCAGAAGGGGGTGGGAGGGCAGGTTGCGGGGCGGGAGGAAGGCAGCCACTTGCTTGTTGGGGGAACAGCTTAGGGGGTGGCCTCTGAAAACCGAGCCTTGGTGCCAGCCAGTGTGGTTCCACCACTCGGAGGTTCAGCCTGCCAGCCCCCCAGGAGGAAGGAGCCAAGGCCCCGGCGGGGTCTGAGGCTGGGAGTGTCGCCCTTGTCACCCATGTCACCAGCTGCGTGTCCCAGTGGGACCGGCGAGAGAGGTGAAGCTTTTGGGTCATCTGCTCATTTTTTTTTTTAATTCCAGAGTAATAATAATGAATTTCGTTGCGGCAAATCAAGAAGACAGGCGAGGAGGACCGTTCTCCCAAGGGAGGCCCCGATCCCAACACCTCCCCTTGTCACTCTCCAGCCTCGGTCCAGTCCTGGCCATCTGGGTGTGACTAGAGCCCCAGCCTATGCAGGCCAGAGAGCCCAGGTGACAGGTAGCCCACCCAGTGCCCCCTCGGACATGGCCTGGGCCCTGCTGCCCTGGGATTTCTGCTACAAACAGACTCTGTCTCGACCACGCCCCCACCCCACACACCTGGGCAGTCGGGGTCTGGGGTGGGAACCTCAAAGTCCACCCCACTGTGGAAGGCCAAGGTGGGGCCAGAGCCGCAGGTGCACATGTGCGTGTTGTGGGGGTGGGGGGTGGGAAGGGGTAGGTGCATGGCAGAGAGATGGAGGTGCACCAGCGACTGAGGCCGACACAAACGCGGCTCTGGGGGTGCGGCACACAGGGACTCCTCACCAAGGCCACTGGCTTGAAAGGGCACTGCTGGCCTTGCTGTGGGCGCTGCGTTAGGGGAGCGAGCTGGAGCGAGGGATCCCGGCGCAGGCCAGGCCTGCTGCCACGCGCCTCCGGGCGCTGCTCTGGGCGTTGCTGGCAGCCATTTTAGGCCTTGGCAGCCATCTTACGGCTGGCGGCCCCAGCCAGCGGCTCCCCCCCCCCCCAACCCCGGCATGCTCAGCTCGGCTCCAGGACAAAAGGCAGAGATCCTGGAAATGTGGACCCAGGTCGCAGGCAGAGGAGGCAGCCCCAGCACACTCCCGGAGAGCCGGGCCTGGCGACACCAGGGCTGCAGCTCCCAGGGCCAGCTGAGGGACAGTGGGCCCCTACCCCAGTTGGCTGTTGGGCACCTTGGGACAGTAGAGACGAGGGAGCCCTGTCAGCTCGGTGGGGGGAAGAAGGGGTGTTCTGGACAGGCTGGGGGAAGGGGCTGGCGGCCACAGGATCACACAGACCCCTGGGCCCGGGGGGAGCTGAGGAAGTGTCCCTGCGCACATGGAGGAAGGAGCCGGCTGGGCCAGCTTCCTACACGGTGGCTTCTCGGGGGCTGCTATGGGTGACTGTGGAGGCGGAGGGAGGAACCAGGTGTTACGCCCCCTGTGGGTGTGCCTTGACCCCTCCCTCGGGGGGGGGCAGAGATCACCCCAGACCTGGACAGAGGTGAGGAACCCCCGCCCACCATCACCAATCCCACCCCGCAGCAGGCCCCGCCTCATGGCGCTGCCTGGGCCTGGCTTTTATCTGGCAAAGTGGGGCTTATCACCACCACCAGCTGAACAAACACACAAATCCACAGTTAGTGAGAAAAACACTGTGTGAACTCTTTATCTCCTGCTCGCAGGCCCGGGGCTGCCCACTGCCAACAGCACAGGAGGGGACCGACGGCAGCGCGCGGTGGTGGGGGGGCTCCCTGCTCCAGCTCTCGGTGGAGGGCGGCCTCCTGGACCCCCGGCCAGGCCTCGCTTTGGGCCTGCACGCTCCGGCTCTCAGCCACCCCCTTCTCCCCTCCTCGCCCCCGGGGCCCGGCGTGGCTGCCCCCTGGCAGTCTCTGCCAATTGTGCGGTGTGCATGAGTGAGCCCCCATCCTGTGTGTGCTTTCTCACTGGGGACAATGGGCCAGCTGGTGGCCTGCGGGCCAGTGCAGGGGCAGGGATGCCCTGGCTGCCACAAGGCGGGCGGGTGCCCGGCTGAGTCTCTCTTATCCCCTGCTGCCTGTCCACCCCCCCGAGGCTGTCTCCCTGCTGCCCCATCTTCTGGGGCCACGTCCTGTCTGTCTCCTGACAGCCTCTCTCTCTCTCTAGCCTGGCTGGCAGAGATGTGGAGGCCCTAAGCACACCCCCTTCTGCCCGCCATCGGCTCAGGGCCACCCTGACATGGGCACGCACAGCAATCCCAGCCCCCACCTCGTACCTTCTCCAGAGACCCCAGTTTTCCGGCCCCACTCCCCTACTAGCTCCTAAGCTGATTTGCGCTCAACCGTGGCATGGTGCAGCCACTGTGCCCTCTGCATTCCCTGGGCCAGGTTAGCGAGGGAGCAAATCTGTGAGGGCACAGCTCCTTCCGGGCGCCGCTGGGGGGTCAGGCCAGCGTGCCACCGCTTTGCTGACAGCCTCGCTTCGGGGCACCAGGGTTCCTCGCGCTGTCCACACCTCTTGGGCACAGGCGCTCCCCTGGCCAGCGGTTCCTGGCCCCTTAGCAGACTAGTGGAAAGAAGGACTAAGAAGGGAAGGCGACAAACCTGGGACTCTGGGGTCCCAGCTGTGGGCTGGAGTCCCAGGTAGCGCCCAGCCCCCTGGAGGTACCGCCACCGGCTCCACCGGCTCAGCTTCCCTTCCTTTGCCCTGGCCTGGCTCCTGGCACCCCTCCCTTGGTCCGTCCTTCTCCCCTTCCCCCCCAGTGTGTGTGTGCACGTGTGTGCGTGTGCACGTTCCTGGGGGATGCTACAGCTTCGGGGGGGGGGGCTCTGCTGTGGAGAGGAACGTTACAGGCGCCAGGAGGAGCCGGGCACTGCACACACACCCGGATGGAGCGCGTGTTGTAATATGTGTGTGTGTGTGTGTGTGTGTGTGTATATATATATTTTTTTTTTCCTCCAGCTACAGCCGAGAGATATTTATGGCTCCCACTGGGTGCGGGAGGAATTCCTGCTCCCTGCAGCCAACACTGCCTGGGCTCCCACTCGGGACACATCTGCTCGAAGACTGGGCTACATGAAACTTGCCGGCCGGCCGCCCCTTTGCCCACTTGGAAGCCGGTTGAATTCTCTGGGGGCTGAGAGAGGCACCCAGACGCCCGCCGGCACTTGAAGACGCCACCAGCCTCTCTCTGTGTCAGGAGAGGGGCGGAGGAAGGCGGTACCTCCAGGGCCACCAGAGATGAGCCCCTCCAGCTTGCTGGCTTGGCTTGGGGTCCCAGAGGCTGGGGGCGGGGCGGGGGGCACCGCCAGGTAGTCTTAGCACCTCATCATCTGAGGGTAGACTCCGGCCCTCCTCAGGACTGCTCTCCCGCCTCACCCCTCCTCCTCGGTGATTCCGGAGTGTTCATGGCACAGGAAACCCAATCTCAAGGGGAGCCAGAGGCCCGGCCCGTAGCAATCAGAGCTGGAGAATGTAACCATTGTGCCTCCTGAAACCCAAGTCTGAGAATCTGAGACACCCTGAGGAGGGGAACGGGCGGACAGCGGACGGGGGGCGGTCACAGAGCGGGCTGTCCCCAGCTCAGAGGACGGGAGGGACGGCCTTGCGAACACGGGGCAGCCAGAGGGCAGAGGGAGGCGGGGCAGGGCCCAGGCCCAGGGGCTTCCGGGACCTTCCCCTCCAAGTCTCCCCATTCCCCTCACAGCCCCTAGCAGCCAGCTTCAGCCCTGGGGACATCCTGTTGCAGTGGCTTTTCCCTCTCTCGCACACAGCCTGGAAGCCAGAGCCTGCCCCCTCCATGTCTTCCCCCCCACTCCGCGCCCCCAGCTCTTGGATCCAGAGTCACCCGCTCCGAGGCGGAAGTGGTGTCAGAGGGGATGAGTGACAGGCAAGAGGAAGAGTTTGAGTCTGGGGTCCAGACTCCAGGAAAGACAGTGGGTGGGGGGCACGGAGATTAGGCTGTGGGGACCTGGCTGACCCAGGGCCAGCATCGGGATGGGACAGTCCACCCTCTCTGACCCTGGAAGGACTGGCATCCGAAAGCAATGTCCAGCAGCTCAGCAATGTGGGGCGGGGGGGGGGGGGCACAGGCGGGACAGAGGATCCACCAGTACACCTGGCGCCCGGGAGGGTGGAAGAGCAGGTGCAGGTCTCTTCTGAGAGCCTCAGGCTCCCGATGGCGTCCAAGTGGAGAAGGCCCATCTTGGTGGTCCCTGCTGGTCATCCCCACCCCACTGTGAAGGCAGGTGGACCCCTGGCTAGCACCCTCCAGTCATGCGCCCTCCCCCCCCAACCTTCCTCACTTTCTGAGAAAGTGTTCCTGAACTCACAGGGTG